CGACAGCGACGAAGCTGCATCACGCTCGGGGAGGTCTGGCAGCACCAGGAACGCTTTCTGTCGTGGGATCAGCACACCCACCAGGAGGCTCTGGAGGCCAGCTGCCTCCCGCAGGGGGACAGGATCGGTCCAGTTTGCCCTCGGCATCTGGTTGATCTCAGGATCAGCCGCGGTCCAACAACAGCTCAGCTGCTGTTAGACCGCGGCTGATCCAGCTCAGCAGCCCTCGTCCAGCTGCTGCAGCTGGACGAGGAGATCCAGACGGCGGCGCCAGCCGGACGCGGCAAGCGGAAGACGGCCAGGGCGCACAGCCAAGAGCTGCAAAGCCGACAGGCCCTGGGCAGACGAACGCGCCCCAGGCGACTGGCGGGCGCCGCAGCGGCGTGGCACCGCTGGTCCAGCCGCGCCGGCCTCAAGGAAATCGCAGAGAGAACGCGCAGCTCGTGGCCTTCGGGGCCGAGAGCCGCAGGCGGCCGGAGGAGGCGGCCACGGACGCTGCCCTGAAGGACAGCAGCTCGGCGAGGTCCTCGGCGCAGGATCCTCGAAGCCTGCGGGCGGCAGGGGGGAGCCACGGCCGGGAGCGGCGGCGCACACGGCCCAGCGGCTCGAGCGTGTCCCGGGAGGCAGGGCCGCCGAGCTCGGGCAACGCCCAGGGCCCTGGCGGCAGCTCCCAGGGCTGGCGCGGGCAGCACCTGGCGCGACGCCGCGTGGCCGCTTCAGGCCGTGCAAGCCAGAGGGTCGCGAGGGCCTCGCGGGCAGACGGCACGTGGCCGATGCACATCCCGGATGGAGGAGCCACGTCGCCGAGCTGACCTGGCCTTCCGACGGTGGAGGCGGGCCCCGCTGTCTGCCACAGAGACCCGCCGCGGAACACGGCTCACGACGCACTCGAGCACTCGAGGAGTTGGGCTGCGCCAGGGAGGATGAGTGCGGGCGTGTGGCGGCAATCAGCCGGAGCTGGACATTGACTTTGTGGCAGTGGCGCGGGCCGCCGAGATCGGAGGGCAGGTCGGAAGCCGTGTTTCAGAGGAGCATGAAGTATTGATACTGATGGTTTTCAAGACTTCCAGGTTTTCCTGTTCTTCCGCGCAGGCTCCATGCAGGGACGAATGGTCGAGCGCATTCCGTCGCGCAGGTTCTTTGCGTGATGTCAGCGGTACATTTCTCGCGCACGGGAGCGCCCTCGGAGATTCCAAGCTGTATTATGTTTTGCTTTTGGGGAGTCCGCGAGTCGCAGCTGCCGTGGCGCGATGTTCGAGGCAACCCCTTCGAGTGTTGTTCGCGGGCGCAGGGCGCGGCGCGCGGTGGGCCCAATCGCGCGCGGCGCGGTGCGCGAATCAGCCGGCCGCGCCCGTCGGGCCGCCCGGAAATTACTTCTGGATTCTAGAATGTTTCCACAAGGTTTCCGTTTTTTTGGCACGAGCGTTTCCGGAACTTTTCCAAAAGAGCCCGGAGGTTTTCAAAAAACAGTTTTGAGGGGTGGAATGCGCCCGCCGCGCAGGACATCTGAAGAATTCTGAAATTCAGAATTTTCCAAAATGGATTTTGCAAGTTGTCAAAATCGACCCAGGAACTTTTCAAAACCGAATCCCGGTCTTCTCAACAAGTAAGCCGGACATTTTCAAAAACGTTCCCAGATTTTTCAAATTTGCCCCTGGAGAATTTTCCAGAGTCGCGCGTGGTTTGCCTTGCCTGTTTTGTGGGAGTCCGCCGAGGCGCGCAACGCGCGGCGGCGGGCGACGGGGCGGTGCGCCACCGTGCCCCCCGCGTTCGGCAATGAAAAGGAGGATCAGCAAATAGCCCCCTACGGGCGACCACTCGATTGCGAATGGGTGACCGACTGGCGGCGCCAGGCAAAGTAGACAATATGCGACGCAAAGTGTACCCCCCGCGAAGGCTGTTAGAAATCCCGGAATCCCTTAACGTATCAATAGCACGTTGTGTCCATCGATTTCTCTCGTCTTAGTGTTGACGATGGACCACGGCGGCACGAAGCCCTCCACCAGCACACCCTCAGTGAGGACCACGAGGACCCCATCGAGACGGCGGAGGAGGAGGAAGACAAGGAGGAGGAGGATGAGGAGCCGAGGCAGGAAACCGACGAGGAGGGTGATTCCTCTTCGGTGCACCGCGCCTCCAGTACTCCTCTAGCATCAGGTGGGTCGTGTGGCCGCCAAATAGCGTCTTGCGAGGAAGAGTGCGCACTGATGGCTCTCCGTCATTTCCCGAGCTTTCGCTTTCCACTGTTGCCGCTTGGTCTGGCGTGATGGTCAACGATGCAGGTCATGTCTTGGCAAATGTATGCTGTACCCTGCCACGCGCTCTATATTGTTCGACCTCCTGATGGTGCTCAGACTTTCGGGCCCTGAGGAGCGTGACGTGGGCTGTGACTGTGAGTCAGTTCTTCTGACTCGGGCCCGAGGACCTGCGCACGACGGTTCCAGTTTTCCGTGTGCTGACGGTGAGAGTCACCCACGTCCTTGCCCACAAATCCTGGCCGAGGGCCCTAGATCTTGGGGTTCCGCTCTGGGCCTGGAGAGATAGCTGCACCGTGTTGCCGATTGGACAGCCAAGAGAGCTGCTGGAGAGGTCCCCGGCCCTCGAGAGTTGATGAATCAGTCTTGCCAGCAGCGAGATCATCGTCATGTCCTGGGCAGGCTTGCAGGTGCTATGCTCCAGATTGCTGGTCGCCCCAGCGTTCGGGATGTCTCTCGCGAGCCGTGGCCCGACGGCCGAAACCCTCGGGCCCCCCAGCTCTTGTGCCCCGACCCGAATGGGCATGCGGCTGGATGTTAGGGGAAGGGCTGGCTGTGTGCGAGATAGACCGTGGCAGGAGGAGGAGGAGGAGGAGAAGGAGGAGGAGGAGGAAGAAGGAAGAGGAGGAGGAGGAGGAGGAGGAGGAGGAGGGAGCTGGACCCACCTTGGTAGCTACAGACGCCCAGACCTGCCCTCCATCCCTCGCACCGCTTGCTGGGAGGGTGCCCAGATGCGTCTCTGTTCACTGTTTGGTGCTCCACGTGCGGTTGCTTCGCCGGACATCGTGTGCACCTGTCGTTAGAACCCTGCCACAGTCCCCGCAGCGAGGCTGCTGCGAAGTCCCTGGAAATGCTCAGGCATGGAATCGACCCGAGCACGAAGCGACGTGTCGGGCGCAGCACGCCCCTCAGGCGTGCTCTCGGGCGACGCGGATGCGTGGCCGACTTGGAAACTTGGGAAGCCAGGAGAAGGCGCAGGAGCTAGCCAGGGCCGTTCTCCACCCAGAGGCGTATCCTCACGCATCGCCTGCGTCAAGCACGACGTCTGAGGGCAAGGGGCCGGTCCAAGGCTCAGGACCGCGCGATCGCGCAGCTGGCTGCCCAGCCAGGCAGGCCGCCAAGGCCTCTGAAGAAGGCCGACGAAGGAGGCGTCCGCTGTCTGGCAGCAGGGGGCGCCCTCTCCCTGGCACAGGCAAGGCGATGTGCAGAGTAAGCGACTGCGCTGATGGTGCCACGCGCACCTCGGCCACCGGGACCACATCTGTCGGGAGTGCGAGGCCAGACCGAGCATGTGGGAGAAGCCAGCGGTCATGCAGGCCAGCTGCGGCTGGCCAGATGCAGAGAAGCCAGTGGAGTGCAACCAAGCCATCACCAGCTGGCTGGTTATCGCCGTCAACCAAGCATGACAATGCCGACACGGCCACGGCATGCGGCGGTGCAAGCACGAGGAGGCTGAACAACCCCTTTCGGAGCCCGACAGCGGCAGCACCGCTGGGAGCGCGGATCCCGACGAGGACGGGCCCGAAGGCGGCCCCGCCGGCGCGGCCCGGAGTGCCCCTGGCGCAGCCCGGGCAGCGACGCCGATGCCCCCGTGCAGGGGCCGGCCAGAGCCGCGCCCCAGGCAGCAGGCCACGGAAGAGGGCGGGGGGGGGCGCCAAGCCACCCGGCTGCGCGGCGGGGCGCCCGCCGCAAGCCGCGGCAGGAGCCGCCCGCGCAGCACGAGGACGCCGCGGCCTTCCCGAAGAGGCGCCGGCGACAGGGCGGCGAGCGGAGGAGCAGACAGGAGGCAGCAGACCAGAGCACGGGTGTTTGCGGTTCGGTCGGCTCGGTCGCGTCGCAGTCGGTAGCGTGCGGTCGGTTCGGTTCGGTCGGTTCTCGCGTCGCTGCCGCGTCGAAGCGCCCTTTTGGTCTGCGTTCGGCCTGTCCATTCCGGTCGGTTTCGGTTTCGCTGTCGCTTCGGTCGGTTTTCGGTCCTGCTGTCGCCGTGCACGGCCGTGCAGAGGCAGCCGGGAGGCAGGAGCTGCGCCGAGGCCCCAGACGGCAGAGGCAGGAGGCCCCGGAGGCCGCGACGCCCCACAAGAGGCGCAGACCGCGGCCGCGGGACGAGGACACCAAGGCGGGGGAGGACCCTGCAGAGAAGGCAACGAGGAGGAGAGCACCAGAAGGCGGGGCGCAGCTGCCCCTGGCAGGCGGAGGGTCCCCACCGGCGGAGGAGCCGGCATTGGAAGAGGAGGAGGAGGCGGAGGCAATGTCCCGAGGAGGAGGAGGAGGAGGAGGAGGAGGAGGAGGAGGAGGAGGAGGAGGAGGAGGCCAGCCACACACATCCTCCCTCACAGCGTGCGCGGGCCCAGATGCCCGAGCAGGACACCTGGCGCCCTCTGAGGCGCCAGGCAGCCCACCACGGGACAACTGACTGAGGCGCTTCGGGCACCGAGCGTTCCTTGCTGCAGGAGTACTGGGCCTGCGGCAAGCGGCCAATCGTCAAAATCGGCGTCGACGACGCTGCACCCGGTCGCCTCCTCCCAGGACGCGCTCCTGACGCCGATCCTGGGACGGATCCAGCCGTGGCGACGGCGACGCGAGCGGCGCGCACGCGGGCGCGACCTCGATCCTCGTACTTCGGTCCCCGGCCTTCTTAAGTATACTCCCAGGGCCGAGGCCCAAGGAGGGGCCAAGAAACGCCCACTGACCCCGACCCCATCGCTGCTAACCCCCTCCCCCCACTGGGAGGGCGAGGGCGGGGCGTCGTACGCGGCGATGGCGACGGCGCGAGGGACGAGACTGGCGACGACGGCGCCGCTGAAGACGGCGGCGACGGCGGCAAGGCGGCGACGGCGGCGAGGCGGCGGCGGCGCGAGCGGCGCGCAGGCGGCGCCCCCCACGAAGGCGAAGGCCGTCCTGACCGAGGAGCAGGTCTCCGACATAGTGAAGACGTGGAAGATGGCCGCGGCTCTGGGCGCGGAGACGGTGGGTTCGGCAGCAAATCATGGGAACCTGGGGTAGCCTCTCAAGTCTGTCTTCAGCGTCGATCTCGGTTTTTTGCGTCGATCTGTATCGATCAGCGCCTGGGAGTGGACGAGATAGCGCCGAGTCAGCGTCGGCTAGTGCCGATTTAGCGTTCATTAGCGGCGTCGGTTAGCGTCGATTTAACGTCGATTCGCGAGAGCCGACAAGATGGTATGGGAGGCTCCCATGAGTTGCCACCGAAGGTGGGTGTGCTGCTGTTCAAGCAGATCTTCGACATCGCCCCCCAGGCCCTGCAGCTGTTCGCCTTCAAGGACGAGCCCAACCTGTACGACTCGCCCAAGCTGAAGGGGCACGGCGTCAAGGTGGTCACGACGGTGGACGCGGTGGTCAACAGCGTCCGCGACCTGGAGGCCCTCAAGCCCACGCTGCAGGACTTGGGCCTGCGTCACGTGGGCTACGGAGTGTTGCCGCCTCATTATGACGTAGTTGGCAAAGCGCTCCTGAGGACCCTGAAGCTCGGGCTACAGGACGCATTCACAAAGAGGGTCGAGGCCGCCTGGACTAAGCTCTGGGCCTTTGTGGCCAAGTGGTGCACGGCCGGCAACTACCCCGAGCAGGACGCTGGGGGTGTGACCCCGAAGAAAGCGGCAAAGGCGCTCAGTCTGACAACCTCTTCTTCGTGAGAGAAAGCGGGTGGAGAGGGGGAGGAGGAGGAGGAGGAGGAGGAGGAGGAGGAGGAGGAGGAGGAGGAGGAGGAGGAGGAGGAGGAGGAGGAGCAGGAGGAGGAGGAGGAGCAGGAGGAGGAGGAGGAAGAGGAGGAGGAGGTGGAGGAGGGAATGGAGGGGGAGGAGGAAGAAGAGGAGGAGCAGAAGGAGGACGAGGAAATGGAATAGGAACTGAGGATTAGGAGGAGGAGAAAGACGATGAGGATGAGGACCAGAGCAAACCCAAGACTCGTCAACGAAATTGGAATAAACCCTCCCTCCAAGCTCCCTCTTCATAGGCCCCTACACGGGTTCACATCCACTGAAGTAACTGCCTCGTTTGGAGACAACCGGTTAAACCCTGAAGCCGTGCCCAAATATGATTCCCAGGACTCCAACGCCACGGATCAACCCGACTGTTGCGTCTTGACGATCCTGAACCGCGCCAGAAAGCCGTTTCTAGGACTTCAACACCGCGAAATAACGTAACCGCTGCACCCTCACAATCTTGCGTCCTTCCAAAACATTTTTCTGGTACGACCATGGGAATCCGTTAAACTCCTGCAGATGTTTAAAACGAATCCAAGCGACGCGAAGGCGAGATCCACATTTTGAAAACGACCTGGCTTCAATCCATGAAATCCTTGCACATGTTTAAAACGAGTGCGCGCGGCGTTAAGGCGAGAGTCACATTGAAAACCACTCGCCCTCAAACTGTGAAGCTCTTACAAAGTTTTGAAACGAGTGTGCGCGGCGCTAAAGCGAGAGTCACATCTGAACGCCGCCCTCAATCTCTGGAACCCTTGCAAATGTTTGAAACGAATGTGCGCGGCGCTGAGACGAGAGCCATATTTTGGGAAGTGATCCGCCCTCCACTTGTGAAACTCTTGTCATTGTTTGAGCTTCAGGGTCATAACTCGTGAGGAAGTCTCAGGCGAAACGTCCAGCCCCCCCTTTCGACTGGCCTCGGGGTATGCGGAGGAGTCACTTCTGAGGAAATTGAGTGGAGGAGCGGCCGTGGAATGGGATGATGAATGATATGTAGCGCCCGGCACTTGCGGATAAGATTGAGGGGCTCGGGTAGGTCGCGAGTGGGTCGCGGGCGGGTCGCGGGTGTGTCGGCGGGTGGGTCGCGGGTGTGCTGATGTTGGGTCGCGGGTGGGTCGCGGGTGGATTGCGGGTTGTTCGCGCGTGGGTCGCGGGTGGGTTGCGGGTCGGTCGCGGGTCGGTCGCGGGTGGGTCGCGGGCGGGTCGCGCGATGGGTCGCGGGTGGGTCGCGGGCCAGTTGCGGCGGGTCGCGGGTGGGTCGCGGGCCGGGTCGCGGGTGGGTCGCGGGCCAGGTCGCGGGTGGGTCGCGGGCGGGACGACGTCAAAGCATTTCGCCGCCGCCCGCCAGACCGAGACATGCGGTCGAGCTGCGTTGGGTGGTGCTCGTCGGCTTTCGGAGGAGGCCCTCGGAGTTAGTCCCTGCGGGCCGTTTCTCCGAGGACGCCTCGGGCGAACGGCGCCTCCGAGGTCCCAAGACCGCGCAGTGCCACACGAATATATCACATATTGATTAACGCATATCACGATGTATCTTCAAGTTTTTGGCATAGTCGCTTGGACCTCCGCGCGGTGTACATGTCTTACCGTTTCCTGATTTCACCGTTGCGCGCGAGCAAATCACGCGCAGATTGTTCATTGGATGACCCCACCCTTGCCCCTACCCCCTACCCCAAAGACCCTAGGCTTTAAGGGCTGTGGGCTAGGGTAAGGAGTAGGGGGCAGGGGTATGGGTAGGGGTGTGAGGAGTAAGGAGTAGGGAGAAGAGCGTATGATGGTAGGGATAGTCGGTAAGGTAGGGGCCCAGGGGTAGCCCCTGGAACCTTCGGTATCTCGGTTAACTTGCCCTAGGTGTTCCAGTGCCCGACCACTTTGAGTCATGAACGTTTGTGCATGTAGTCAGTGTTCCATGCCGCACAACAAGATGTTAAGCGCCTCACGTCATTGTATACACCATTTCTTACACTCTGGGAGTTTATATTGTCTCCATCCTTTTTAATATTTTGGTTTGGACTTTCGATTGTTGATGTTTTAACATTGAACTTTCAATTTAACCCCCCTCCAGATCGAACGAGGATTTATCTTTTTTGTGCCGTGATGGACTTCCAAGCTTCTATGCAAGGTCAGTGGAAACAACATCCTTGTATGCTGACTTCTCAGTTTCATTTTGCTTGGCATTGAATTTAGAAATTTCCCAAAGGTTTGCACTTATGTGGTTCTTACTCAGGAACTGGTCCCGGTTGCCGCCCCAGCGGCCCCGTTCCCGTCCGTCGCCGCACCGCTTGTCCCAATAGATGGCACGTGTGCCACCCCGGCTGCCCTATTCCCGCTCGTCGTCGCCGCAGCACCCCGTGTGTGCCGCCCCGTCGCCGCCGCCGTGTTGCATTGCAATCGCATTGCGTTGCGATGCCATCGCATTGCAGCGTATTGTGATCGCATTGCGTTGCACTGGTTTGCATTGCTTTGCAGCCGCAGTGCACTGCAATCGCATTGCAATGCGTCGCAGGCGCATCGCATCGCATTGCCTGGCACTGCTATGCAATCGGGCTGCATTTGCTTTGCGTTGCTTTGCACCGCGTTACATTGCGTGGCATGGAGTTGCACTGATGTGCAATGCTGTGCGTTGTTTTGCATTGCTTCGCACTGCTTTGCAACGTTTCGTATTGCTTTGCATAACTTTGCACTGGTTTGCATGACGTCGCATTCCATTGTGTATTGCGTTGCATTGCTTTGCATTGTTTTCCGTCGCATTGTTTTGCATTGCTTTTGCATCGCATAGATGGCACCACATGAATTGCACCACCTGGGTTGCGCTACATTGATTTACCACCTTGAATGCGCAGCGTCGATTGCAAGAGCGCACTGCGTTTGGCTTCACGCTGGCTAATCGTTTCGGTCGGTGTGCTGAATTGTTGCTGTCAATTTCCTGGTGTGCCCACCTGACTGTCATGAACAGTCAGGCAGTGATACTGTGTTTTGTCCCTGGCAAATGCACTGGACATGCCATCGACAAATGTCATCGGTTTGACTTGCAGCAATTGGTTCTCAATGTGCTGCACATTCATAGTACAGTTCAAAGACAACGTGTCGTCTTAGGAATCGTTGGGGCAATAGTCCAAGGAAGTATTAAGCGGTGGTGCCACTTCGAAAAAAATACGCACTCCTCCTTCCGTGTAGGTGTTGCGCAATGTCATAGACCTGGCCGTCAAGTTTGCCGAAATCTCAAGCGAATGTCCCATTTCGAAAAGGAGCCGCCCTGCATTCGTGTAGCAATTGTACAATCTGGAACTACTATGGTCATATGTTTCGAGGAGGTCTCAAGCGAGAACCACCCTTTCAGATCCACCTCCTGCATCCGTGTAGTGTAACAGCCTGATGTTTGTTCAGATTAGTGCGCGCGACGCTGACGCAAGAGACATGTTTCGAAACCTGAATGCCTGCAATTGTTGGAAGCCGAAAACGCGTGCGCGGCGCTAAGGCGAGAGTTGCAATCTGGAAACGACCGAAAACACATGTGCGCAGCGCCCAGGCGAGATCCACATGTTTGAAACGACCAGCTTTCCATCCTTTCTGTACTTGTTCAAGTGTTTGGTTTCAGGATAACAGGTTGTAAAGGAGGCTCAAGCGAAATGCTCGTGGTGCGACATGTGGGGCCTTCTTTGTACGGGCAATGGATCGAGGATGAGGAGGAGTAGTTTTAGTAGGAGGCCCACCCCGCATCCAATTCCCCTCTACCACCATCCTCTTCCGTCCCCCCATTCAGCCTTATCGCTCCTCCCCTCCTTCCCCTTCCTTTTCCCCCCCTCCTCCCGCGAAGGCGACGGCCGTCCTGACCGAGGAGCAAGTCTCGGTCATAGAGACGACGTGGAAGCAGGCCGCGGCACTGGGCGCGGAGACGGTGGGCGTGCTATTGTTCAAGCAGATATTCGACATCGCTCCCCAGGCCCTGCAGCTGTTCGCCTTCAAGGACGAGCCCAACCTGTACGACTCGCCCAAGCTGAAGGGGCACGGCGTCAAGGTGGTCACGACGGTGGACGCGGTGGTCAACAGCGTCCGCGACCTGGAGGCCCTCAAGCCCACTCTGCAGGACCTGGGCCTGCGTCACGTGGGCTACGGAGTGTTGCCGCCTCACTATGACGTCGTTGGCCAGGCGCTCCTGAGGACCCTGAAGCTAGGGCTGAAGGACGCATTCACAAAGGAGGTCGAGGCCGCCTGGACCAAGCTCTGGGCCTTTGTGGCCAAGTGGTGCACGGCCGGCAACTACCCCGAGCAGGATATTGGGGGTGTGACTCCGAAGAAGGCGGCAAGGGCGTTCGGTCCGGCGTTTTTTCTCCTTCGGGGAAACGTGTAAAGAGGTTGATGATGATGATGCTTATGATGATGATGTTGATGATGCTGATGATGATGATCATCATCATCATGAGGAGGAGGAGGAGGAGGACGAGGAGGAGGAGGAGTAGCGGTCGAGGAACGGGAGGATGAGTATATGGAGGATGAGCAGAGGAGGAGTAGGAGTAAGAGGAGGAGGCGGAGGAGGTGGAGGAGGAGGAGGAGGAGGAGCTGGAGGCGGATCAGGAAGCAGGAGGGCCCTCAGCCCAGGGACTGATAGTATGTTTTTTTTCTGATGGGGCGTGAAACGCTTCTCCGCCGCCCGCGGGACCAGGACATGCCGTCGAGCTGAGTTGGGTGGTGGTGATGGTTGTCGGCTTTCGGAAGAGTCCCTCGGAGCTAGCCCGTAGCCGTTAGCCTATAGCCCTACCGCGTACCCTTTAGATTCACCGCTATCCCCTACAGCCCGTTCGCCGAGGACGCCTCGGGCGACAGGGGTCTCTGAGGTCCCAAGACCGTGCGGTGTCATGTGAGTAGATCATATGCGTGTGTTGTCTGCACACACTGTTGATTTACGCATACTACGATATGTCCTGAAGCTGTTGGCGTAGTCGTTCGGACCTCCGCGCGGTGTACCTTTCCTACCCTTTCCTGACTTCACCTCGAGCGCCCAAGTCAGTGTTCGCTTGAGAAATCACGCGTAGGGGGTTTATTAAAATAGCCCATCATTACCCCCTACCCCGAAGGCCCTAAGCCCTGAGGGCTAGTGGCTAGGGTAAGGAGTCGGGGGCAGGGGATATGAGTAGGGGTGCGGGGATCAAGGAGTAGGGAGTGGAGCGTACAGTAGTTGGGATAGTCGGTAAGGGTAGGGGCGTAAGGGTAGCCCTTGGACCCTCGGCATCTCGGCTCACTGTTCCTAGGTGTTCTGCTGTCCGACCAACTTGAGTCATGCCACTTCGCACAGCAAGATGTTTAAGCATCTCATGCCATTATAGACTCAAGCTCTTGCTGTCCAGAAATATCCATGTGCATTCTCATTTAAAGTTTTAATATTGAATGTTCGAACCTCCATCTTTTTACCATTGGCTTTTCAAGTTCTTGTTTTCCATAGCGAATATGGAAAAGTCGTTTTTTCAAGGCCGAATATTGTTTTTTCGAATGTTCATGGTTTAATGTTTAATCTCCTCCAGACTGGACTTGGAACTTGTGCATTTCCCGTAATGAACTTCCAAGCATGTTGAAATCGAAGGGTCATAGTAAACAATCCTTGCATGATGACATCTTAGTTACATTTGCTGTATCGAAACTTGTTCTTTCCGACAGCAGTGTTTGCACTCATGGCTTCCTATTTGTTTTGAAAGGAACTGGGCCCGTTTGGGGCGCTCTTGGAGGCGTCTTGGGCCGTGTTGGGGCGATCCTGGAAGCCTCTTGGGCCGTCTTGGAGCGCCGGTGAGCCGGAAAGGCGAGAACGCCAAATACCTTCAAACACTGACGGAAAATCACAAATTTCTGCCTCCGTGGGCCCTCTTGGCAGGTCTCTTATAGGAATCTCGGGGCGTCTTGAAGGCGTTTTGGGTTGTCTGGAGGCCATCTTTCGCGTCTTGGATCGCTCTTGGACCGTCTCCAACCATTTTGAGCTCTCCTGGAGGCCACTTGAATCGCTCCTGGAGCGCTCTTGGGAGCCTGCGGGGACCTGGCCGGGACCTACCCGGGACCTGCCCGGGACCTTGCCGGGACCTGCCGGGGACCTTGCCGGGACCTGCCCAGGACCTTGCTGGGGGATTTTCCGTTTGGGCCCCCCCACGGGCTGCCCTGCGCGCGCGAGCTAGAAATATTGTCAACCAATTACCGGAGATGTTAGCACGCCGTTGGCCCGTTGGGCCGGCGATTTTTTCCCATGTTGAATTTGGAATAATCGATTTCTAAGGTTTTTCTTCAAATAGTTCTGCCCTATAGGAGTTCTAACTCATTCTCTACTAATTGGTCCGTTGCCCCCCCGTAATTCCTATGACCCCGCCCCTAATTTCTATGGCTATGCCTATGCCTATGCCTCCCCCCTAACTCCAATGGTACCCCTCCTTATTTCCAATGGCACCCCCCAGCTATTTTCAATCGCCCGATGGATTCCTATGTATTCCTATGAGTCGCTTGCCCTTGCTTGCTCTTGCGTGCTCTTGCTTGCTTGCTCTGGTGGCTTGCTCTCGCTTGCTTGCTCTTGCTTGCCCTCACTTGCTTGCACTTGAACGCTGGCTCTTGCTTGCTTGTGATTGCTCGCTTGCGCTTGCGAGCTCCCGCTTGCTTGCGCTTGCTTGATGATGCTCCTCCCGTCCTGCTCCCATCCTCCTTGCGTCGTCCTCCCATCCTCCTCTCGTCGTCATCCTGTCCTCCTATCTATTTGGAGTCAACGCTGGCTGATCTTGATTGGACGTTCGATTGTTCATGGTTTAAGTTTAAACCTCCTCCACACTGGGCTTGGAATCTGTCTTTTGCCCGTAATGAACTTCCAAGCTTCTTTTGAAGGCTCACGTTAAACAATCCTTTTTTATGCTGAAATTTCAGTTGCATGGGTATCGAATGTGTTTCTTTCTGGAAGCAGTGTTTGCACTTATGGGTCTTTACTTGCCTCCTGAGGAACTGGGCCCGTTTGTTGGAAAGCGCGCCACTGGATCATCCTGTAATTGAAACGGGGAGGGCGGGGGGGTCCGAACCCCCCTCCCCCCCCCCCCCTTCAAAGGGGGGGGTGAGATTTTCGACCCCCCCCCTCCCCTCCCCCCCTTAAGGGGGGAGGGGAGTCCGAACCCCCCTCCCACCCCCCACCCCTTTGCGCCGAACAGGGGGCCAGGGAGGGGGGGAGGGGGCTTCTCCCGCGTTTCCTTTCTGCGCCGGAGAACGTGGGTAGGGAGTAGGGAGTACTGTGTAGTGAGTAGTGAGTAGCGCGTAGTGAGTAGTGCGTAGTGAATAGTGAGTAGTAGGTAGTGAGTAGCGAGAAGGGCATCGGGAGCAGGTAGTGGGGAGTAGTGGGTCGTGAATAGTGAGTGCTGAGTACTGAATTGCAAAGTAGTGAATAATGAGTGGTGAGTACTGACTAATGAGTAGTGTGCAGCGAGTAGTGAGTAGAGGGTAGTAAGTAGTGGGTCGTGAGCAGTGAGTACTGAGTAGGGACTAGGGAGTAGTGAGTAGTGAGTAGTGTGTGGTGAGTAACGAGCAGTGAGTAGTGAGCAGTGGGTAGTGCCTAGTAGTGAGTAGTGAGTCTTGAGTCGTGAGTAGTGAATAGTGCGTAGTGAGTAGTGCGTAGTGACTAGAGAGTACGTAGTAGTGAGTAGTGAGTAATAAGTAGTGAGCAGTGCGTAGTGAGCAGTGAGTAGTGAGTAGTGAGGAGTGGGTAGTGTGTAGTGGGGAGGAGGGGGCAGTCAGTAGTGAGTAGTCAGTAGGGAGTTAGTGAGTAGCGACTAGGGAGTAGTGAGTAGTGAGTACTGAGTATGGAGTATGAAGTAGTGATTAGTGAGTAGTGAGAATGGAGGAGAGGGTAGCTAGTAGTGGGTGGTGAGTAGGGAGTAGCGAGTAGAGAGTAGTGAATAGTGATTGGTGAGTCGAGAGTAGTGAGTGGTGAGTAGTGAGTAGTGAGTAGAGGGTAGTGAGTAGTGACTAGTGACTAGTGACTAGGGACTAATGACTAGGGACTAGGGAGTAGGGGGTAGTGAGTAGTGAGTAGATCGCATTGGTTAGCGAGCAGGGTGTAGGGAGTAGCGAGTAGCGAGTAATGAGTAGTGAGTACTGTGTAGGAAGTAGGGAGTAGCGAGTAGCGAGTAGTTGATAGTGAGTAGTGAGTTGCAGGCAATGGGTAGCGAGTAGTGATCGGTGAGTAGTGGGTAGTGGGTAGTGAGTTGCGTTTAGTGAGTAGTGAGTATTGAGTAGTGGGTAGTGAGTAGTAGGTAGTTTGTATGAAGTAGTGAGTAGTGAGTGGGGAGTAGTGAGTAGTGAGTAGTGGGTAGTGGGTAGTGAGTAGTGGGTAGTGAGTAGTGGCTCGTGAGTGGTGAGTAGTGAGTAGTGAGAAGTGAGTAATGGGTAGCGAGTAGTGAGTAGTGGATAGTGAGTAGTGCGTAAGGAGTATAGTGAGTACTGTTTGGAGCTAGTGTTAGGGTTGGGTTTAGGGTTAAGGGGTTAGGGCTAGGGGTTTGGGTAAGGGTGAGGATTGGTGTTAAGGGTGGTAAGGGTCGGGTTCCGGAGCCCGGGGGCGCCGTGGCCAAAGGGGGGGGACGGGGGGGGGGCTCGAATTTGGCGGCCAAAGGGGGGTTCGTTTTTTGATAGGGGGGGAGGGGGGGGTCCCCGACGACGGACCCCGGGAAAGGGGGGAAGGGGGGGGATCGGGTCCCCGGCAACGGATCGGGACAGGGGGGGGGGGTCCCCGACGACAGATCGGGGAAAGGAGGGAGGGGGGGGGGTCGGACCCCCCCCCTCCCCCCCTTGGGAAAATCCAGCGGCGCGCCCTCCGTTTGTCGCCCCCGCGGCTCCGTTCCCGTCAGCCGCCGCGCCATTTGTCCCAATCAATGGCACGTGTGCCGCCCCGGCTGCCCCGTTCTCGCCCGTCGCCGCTGCTCTGTTGCACCCCCCCTTGCATTGCAATCGCATTGCGTTGCATTTGAATCGCATTGCATTGTATTGCAATCGTATCGCGTAGCATTGATTTGCATTGCTTTGCCATCATGTTGCATTGCAGTCGCATTGCAGTGCATCGCAATCGCAATCGCATTGCATCGCATTGCATTGCATCGCATTGCTTGGCGCCCCCCCCATCCCCTTCCCCTCTACCACCATCCTCTTCCGCCCCCCTCCCCCATTCACCCGTATCGCTCCTCCCCTCCTTCCCCCTCCCCTCCCCCCCTCCCCCCGCGAAGGCGACGGCCGTCCTGACCGAGGAGCAGGTCTCCGTCATAGAGACGACATGGAAGCAGGCCGCGGCATTGGGCGCGGAGACGGTGGGCGTGCTGCTGTTCAAGCAGATATTCGACATCGCTCCCCAGGCCCTGCAGCTGTTCGCCTTCAAGGACGAGCCCAACCTGTACGACTCGCCCAAGCTGAAGGGGCACGGCGTCAAGGTGGTCACCACGGTGGACGCGGTGGTCAGCGGCGTCCGCGACCTGGAGGCCCTCAAGCCCACTCTGCAGGACCTGGGCCTGCGTCACGTGGGCTACGGAGTGTTGCCGCCTCATTATGACGTAGTTGGCCAGGCGCTCCTGAGGACCCTGAAGCTAGGGCTGAAGGACGCATTCACAAAGGAGGTCGAGGCCGCCTGGACCAAGCTCTGGGCCTTTGTGGCCAAGTGGTGCACGGCCGGCAACTACCCCGCGGCAAAGGCGTTCGGTCCAGCTCTCTCTCTCTCTCTCTCTCTCTCTCTCTCTCTCCTTCGGGTCACCTTATGAAGAGGTTGATGATGATGGTGATGTTGTTGATGATGATGATAATGATAATGATGATGCTGATGATGATGATGATGGTGGTGATGATGATGATGTCATTGATGACGATGATGATGACGATAATGCTGACGCTGACGCTGACGATTATGATGATGCTGATGCTGATGCTGATTATGATGATGATGACGATGATTATGATTATGATTATGATTCTGATGATGAGGATGACGAGGACGAGGACGACGAAGAAGAGGAGGAGGAAGAGCGGTCGAGGAATGGGAGGATGAGTATAAAGAGGTTGAGCAGGTGGAGGAGGACGAGGAGGAGGAGGAGGAGAATTTGGAGGAGTTGGAGGCGGATCAGGAAGCAGGAGGGCCATCAGCCCAGGGACTGAGAGTCTGTTTTTTTTATGCTGGGGCGTGAAACATGTCCCCGCCGCCCGCGGGACCGGGACATGCCGTCGAGCTGAGTTGGGTGGTGGTGATGGTTGTCGGCTTTCGGAAGAGTCCCTCGGAGCTAGTCCGTAGCCGTTAGTCTATAGCCCTACCGCCTACCCTTCAGATTCACCGCTATCCCCTACGGGTCGTTCGCCGAGGACGCCTCGGGCGACCGGGGTCTCTGAGGTCCCAAGACCGTGCGGTGTCATATGAATAGGTCATATGCGTTTGTTGTCTGCATACAGCATTGATTTAAGCATACTGCGATATGTCCTAAAGCTGTTGGCGTAGTCGTTCGGACCTCCGCGCGGTGCACCTTTCCTACCCTTTCCTGGCTTCACCTAGAGCGCCCAAGCCAGTGTTTGCGTGAGAAATCACACGTAGGGGGTTTATTAGATGAATCCCATCCTTGCCCCCTACCCCCTACCCCAAAGGCCCTAAGCCCTGAGGGCTCGTGGCTAGGGTAAGGAGCAGGGGGCAGGGGGCAGGGGGTATGGGTAGGGGTGCGGGGATCAAGGAGTAGGGAGTAGACCATATGGTAGTAGGGATAGTCGGTTAGGGTAGGGGCGTAGGGGCACCCCCTGGGACCCTCGGCATCTCGGCTAACTGCTCCTAGGTGTTCCGCTGTCCGACCAACTTGAGCCATGAACATGTAGCCAGCCGGTTTTCATTCCGCACAACAAGATGTTCAAGCATCTTATGCCAATGTATACTCAAGTTCCTACTGTCCGCGAATCTCCACGTGCATTATCAGTTTAAGGTTTAGTATTGAATGTTCGAATATTCATCCTTTCAACATTTACTTGTCAAGTTCTGGTTTTTTCATATTGAACTTGGCATCGTCTGTTTTCAAGTTTTAGTTTTGGACGTTCAAATGTTCATGGTTGAATGTTGAACCTCCTCCAGACTGGACTTGGAAGCTGTGCTTTTCCCGCAGTGAGCTTCCAAGCATGTTGAAATCGAAGGGTCATGTTAAACAATCCTCTCATGCTGAAATCTCAGTTACATTTGTTGTATCGAGTTGTGTTCTTTCGGGGAACAGTGTTTGCACTTATGGGTTCTTACTTGCTTTGTAAGGAACTAGGGCCGTTTTGGGCGCTCTTGGAGGCCTCTTGGGCCGTGTTGGGACGATCCTGGAAGCCTTTTGGGCCGTTTTGGAGCGCCGGTAAGCCGAAAAGGCGAGAACGCCAAAAACCTTCAAAAACCGGCGGAATTCTCCTGGAGGCCATTTGAATCGCTCCTGGAGCGCTCTTGGGAGCCTGCGGGGACCTGCCCGGGACCTGCCCCGGACCTGCCCGGGACCTTGCCGGGACCTGCTGGGGACCTTGCCGGGACCTGCCCAGAACCTTGCTGGGGGATTTTCGTCCGGGGACCCCCAGGGGCGGCCCCGCGCGCGCGAGGTAGAAATATTGTCAATCAAGTATCGGAGATTTTAGCACGCCATAGGCCCGTTGTGCCGGCGGATTCTTTCCGTATTGAATTTGGAATAATTGATGTTCAAGGTTTTGCATTGGATGTTCGATTGTTCATGGTTTAATTTTGAACGTCCTCTAGACTGGACTTCAAATCTTTTTTCCGTAATGAATGTCAAAGCTTCTTTCGACATGGAAGGTTCATGTTAAACATTTGTTGGTTGAAATCTCAGTTACATTTGTTCTTTCGGAAAACAGTATTTGCACTTATGGGTCCTTACTTGCCTTCTAGGGAACTGGACCCGTTTGTCGCCCCCGCGGCTCCGTTCCCGTCCGTCGCCGCACCACTTGTCCCAATCAATGGCACGTGTGCCGCCCTGGCTGCCCCGTTCTCGCCCGTCGCCGCTGCTCTGTTGCACTGCCCCTCGCATTGTAATCGTAGCGCGTTGCATTGCAATCAATCGCACTGCGTTGTTTTGCAATCGCATCGCGTAGCATTGATTTGCATTGTTTTGCAATCGTATTGTATTGGAGTCGCATTGCAGGGCATCGCCATCGCATCGCAATCGCATTGCATCGCATTGCATCGCATCGCATTGCTTGGCACTGATTTGCAATCGTTGGAAGCCGAAAACGCGTATGCGCGGCGCTGAGGCGAGAGTCGCAAGCTGAAAACTACCGAAAACGAATGTGCGCGGCGCCCAGGCGAGATCCACATGTTTGCAACGACCAGCTTTCCATCCTTTCTGTACTCGTTCGAGTTTTGGGTTTCAGGATGACAGGTTGTAGGGAAGGCTCGAGCGAAATGCTCGTGGTGCGACAGGTGGGGCGTACAATGGATCGAGAATGAGAAGGAGTAGGTTTAGTAGGAGGCCCCCCCCATCCCCTTCCCCTCTACCACCATCCTCTTCCCCCCCCCCCATTCAGCCGTATCGCTCCTCCCCTCCTTACCCCTCCTCTCCCCCCCTCCCCCCGCGAAGGCGACGGCCGTCCTGACCGAGGAGCAGGTCTCCGTCATAGAGACGACATGGAAGCAGGCCGCGGCACTGGGCGCGGAGACGGTGGGCGTGCTGCTGTTCAAGCAGATCTTCGACATCGCCCTCCAGGCCCTGCAGCTGTTCGCCTTCAAGGACGAGCCCAACCTGTACGACTCGCCCAAGCTGAAGGGGCACGGCGTCAAGGTGGTCACGACGGTGGACGCGGTGGTCAACAGCGTCCGCGATCTGGAGGCCCTCAAGCCCACTCTGCAGGACCTGGGCCTGCGTCACGTGGGCTACGGAGTGTTGCCGCCTCACTATGACGTAGTTGGCCAGGCGCTCCTGAGGACCCTGAAGCTAGGGCTGAAGGACGCATTCACGAAGGAGGTCGAGGCCGCCTGGACCAAGCTCTGGGCCTTTGTGGCCAAGTGGTGCACGGCCGGCAACTACCCCGCGGCAAAGGCGTTCGGTCCGGCGTTCGTTCTCTCTCCTTCGGGGAAAACGTGTGCAGAGGTTGTTGATGATGATGCGTATGATGATGATGATGATGATGATGATGATGATGATGATGATGATGATGATGATGATGATGATGATGATGATGATGATGATGATGATGATGATGATGATGATGATGAAGATGAAGATGAAGATGATGTTGATGATGCTGATGATGCTGATGATGCTGATGATGATGATGCTGATGATGATGATGATGATGTTGATGATGATGATGATGGTGGTGGTGGTGGTGGTGGTGGTGGTGATGATGATGATGATGATGATGATGATGATGAGGAGGAGGAGGCAGAGGATGAGCGGCCGAGGAACGGGAGGATAAATAGAAAGAGGGTGGGCAGGTGGCGGAGGAGAATGAGTCGGTGGAGCTTGAGGCCGATGATAGACAGCGCTCCTAAGCCGAGCCTCGGGTCGAGGTTGAGTAAGAGTGGACTCTTCAGTCACTGTTGGTTGGACCGAGTGCTGTTTGGACATCGTGATCTGGAGTGCCGCTTCTCGAGCTCAGCTTGTATTGTTCAATGTAGCATGGCTGCTTGGATGGGTACTCACGAGGCCGCCGATGCTCAACATACGATCGGGAACTTTTGGTTAGCGTGTCGCTCAGCTGGTTATGGCCCACCGCGCTTCGGCGCGACACGCTATCCACGTTCTGGTCCATGAGCGTCCGCGTCTCGATTTGTTCCCAGCCTCCCGCCCCGCGGAGCGGACCGACGCGCTATCCGCTCGCAGGGCATAGTGTGTCGCCGGCCCCCCCCCGCGGCGACACGCTAAGCAAAAATTCCCGACTGCAAGTGTGTATAGAGGGGGCGGGGAGGTGTCATGCTGCGCGGTGTGTAAGGAAACGAGTCTCAGAGTAGAGGATGGACTTTTCAGTTGCATCTGGGTCGGATGCAGTGTAGCGCATGGTGTATAGAAGGAGTAGATTTAGTAGGAGGCCCCCCCCATCCCCTTCCCCTCTACCACCATCCTCTTCCGCCCCCCCCCCATTCAGCCGTATCGCTCCTCCCCTCCTTCCCCCTCCCCTCCCCCCCTCCCCCCGCGAAGGCGACGGCCGTCCTGACCGAGGAGCAGGTCTCCGTCATACAGACGACGTGGAAGCAGGCCGCGGCACTGGGCGCGGAGACGGTGGGCGTGCTGCTGTTCAAGCAGATATTCGACATCGCTCCCCAGGCCCTGCAGCTGTTCGCCTTCAAGGACGAGCCCAACCTGTACGACTCGTCCAAGCTGAAGGGGCACGGCGTCAAGGTGGTCACCACGGTGGACACGGTGGTCAGCGGCGTCCGCGACCTGGAGGCCCTCAAGCCCACTCTGCAGGACCTGGGCCTGCGTCACGTGGGCTACGGAGTGTTGCCGCCTCACTATGACGTAGTTGGCCAGGCGCTCCTGAGGACCCTGAAGCTAGGGCTGAAGGACGCATTCACGAAGGAGGTCGAGGCCGCCTGGACCAACCTCTGGGCCTTTGTGGCCAAGTGGTGCACGGCCGGCAACTACCCCGAGCAGGATACCGGGGGTGCGAGTCCGAAGAAGGCGGCAAAGGCGTCCAGTCCAGCGTTCTCTCTCCTTCGGGGAAGAATGTGCGACGAGGTGTGATAATGATGATGATGATGATGATGATGATGATGATGATGATGATGATGATGATGATGATGATGATGAGACTGATGATGATGATGATGATGATGATGATGGATGATGATGATGATGATGATGATGATGATGATGATGATGATGATGATGATGATGATGATGATGATGATGATGATGATGATGATGATGATGATGATGATGATGATGATGATGATGATGATGATGATGATGATGATGATGATGATGATGATGATGGGGAGGAGGAGGAGGAAGAGGAGGAGGAGGAGGAGGAGGAGCGGTCGAGGAATGGGAAGATGAGAGTATAAGGAGGCTGAGCAGGTGGAGTTATAAGGGGAGGAGTAGGAGGAGGAGGAGGAAGAGGAGGAGGAGGAGGAGGAGAAGTTGGTGGAGCTGGAGGAGGATCAGGAAGCAGGAGGGCCATCAGCCCAGGGACTGAGAGTATGTTGATTATTTTTACGATGGTGCGTGAAACATTTCCCCCCGCCCGCGGGACCGGGACATGCCGTCGAGCTGCGCTGGGTGGTTGTGATGGTTGTCGGCTTTCTGAAGAGTCCTTCGGAGCTAGCCCGTAGCCGTGAGCCTATAGCCCTGCCGCCTACCCTTTAGATTCACCGCTATCCCCTACGGACCGTTCGCCGAGGACGCCTCGGGCGACCGGGGTCTCTGAGGACCCAAGACCGCACGGTGTCATATGAACAGGTCATGTGCGTTTGTTGTCTGCATACATCATTGATTTACGCATACTGTGATATGTCCTAAAGCTGTTAGCGTAGTCATTCGGACCTCCGCGCGGTGTACATGTCCTACTCTTTCCTGACTTCACCTAGAGCGCACAAGTCAGTGTTTGCGTGAGAAATCACGCGCAGGGGGTTTTATTAGATGAACCCCATCCTTGTGCCCTACCCCCTACCCCAAAGGACCGAAGCCCTGAGGGCTAGTGGCTAGGGTAAGGAGCAGGGGGCAGGGGGTATGGGTAGGGGTGTGGGGATCAAAGAGTAGGGAGTAGACCGTATGGTAGTAGGGATAGTCGGTAAGGGTAGGGGCGTAGGGGTAGCTCCTGGGACCCTCGGCATCTCGGCTAATTGCTTCCAGGTGTTCTGTTGCCCGACTAATTTGAATCATGAACGTTCGCGCATGTAGCCAGCTTATTTTCATTTCGTACAGCAATTTGTAAGCCTCTCATGGCATTGTATACTCCAGTTATTACTGTCCGCGAACCTCCACATGCATTATCAGTTTAAGGTTTATTCTTGAATTTTCGAGCACTCATCCTTTTATCATGGAACTTTCAAGTTAACGTTTCCGTATTGAGTTTTGTAGAACCGATTCTCAAGGTTTAGTACTGGATGTTCGATTGATCATGGTTTAAGTGTAAGCCTCTCCAGACTGGACATGAGATCGTTGTTGTTTTTCCCGTAAGGAACGTCCAATTTTCTTGTTTCGAATTGAAGGTTCATCTTAAACAGCGATTTTCGTTGCTGAAATCTCAGTCACCCGTGTTTATCGGATTTTGTTCTTGTGATACTTGCCTTTAAGGAACTGGACCCGTTTGTCGCCCCCGCGGTTCCGTTCCCGTCCGTCGCCGCGCCATTTGTCCCAATCAATGGCACGTGTGCTGCCCCGGCTGCCCCGTTCTCGCCCGCCGCCGCTGCCCCGTTGCACCCCCTTTGCATTGCAGTCGCATCGCGTTGCATTGCAATCGCATTGCGTTGTATTGCAATCGCGTAGCATTGCATTGCAGTCGCATTGCAGTGCATCGCAATCGCATCGCAATCGCATTGCATCGCATTGCACTGCATCGCATTGCGTGGCACTGATTTGCAATCGTTGAAAGCCGAAAACGCGTGTTCGCGGCGCTGAGGCGAGAGTCGCAAGCTGGAAACTACCGAAAACGAAGGTGCGCGGTGCCCAGGCGAGATCCACATGTTTGAAACGACCAGCTTCCCATCTTTCTGTACTCGTTCGAGTTTTGGTCTTCAGGACAACAGTTTGTAGGAAAGGCTCAAGCGAAATGCTCTTGGTGCGACAGGTAGGGCGTTCTTTGTACGGACAATGGCAATGGATTGAGAATGAGGAGGGGTAGGTTCAGTAGGAGGCCCCCCACATCCCCTTCCCCTCTACCACCATCCTCTTCCGCCCCCCCCCATTTAGCCGTATCGCTCCTCCCCTCCTTCCCCCTCCCCTCCCCCCCTCCCCCCGCGAAGGCGACGGCCGTCTTGACCAAGGAGCAGGTCTCAGTCATACAGAAGACGTGGAAGCAGGCCGCGGCACTGGGCGCGGAGACGGTGGGCGTGCTGCTGTTCAAGCAGATATTCGACATTGCTCCCCAGGCCCTGCAGCTGTTCGCCTTCAAGGACGAGCCCAACCTCTACGACTCGCCCAAGCTGAAGGGGCACGGCGTCAAGGTTGTCACCACGGTGGGCACGGTGGTCAGCGGCGTCCGCGACTTGGAGGCCCTCAAGCCCACTCTGCAGGACCTGGGCCTGCGTCACGTGGGCTACGGAGTGTTGCCGCCTCACTATGACGTAGTTGGCCAGGCGCTCCTGAGGACCTTGAAGCTAGGGCTGAAGGGCGCATTCACTAAGGAGGTCGAGGCCGCCTGGGCCAAACTCTGGGCCTTTGTGGCCAAGTGGTGCACGGCCGGCAACTACCCCGAGCAGGATACCGGGGGTGCGAGTCCGAAGAAGGCGGCAAAGGCGTCCAGTCCAGCGTTCTCTCTCTTTCGGGGAGAACGTGTGAAGAGGTTGATGATGATGATGATGATGATGATGCAACTGCTGCGAGTGTCCAGTGCTGAACTGATGATGATGATGATGATGATGATGCTGCTGCTGCTGCTGATGATGATGATGATGATAATGATGCTGAGACTGATGATGATGATGATGATGATGATGATGGTGATGATGATGATGATGATGATGTGATGATGATGATGATGATGATGATGATGATGATGATGATGATGATGATGATGATGATGATGATGATGATGATGATGACGCGGAGGAGGAGGAGGAGGAAGAGGAGGAGGATGATGATGAGGAGGAGGAGGAGCGGTCGAGGAATGGGAAGATGAGAGTATAGGGAGGCTGAGCAGGTGGAGTAAGAGGGGGAGGAGGAGGAGGAGGAGGGGGAGGAGGAGGAAGAGGAGGAGGAGGAGGAGGAGCGGCCGAGGAATGGGAGGATACATAGAAAGAGGGTGGGCAGGTGGCGGAGGAGAATGAGTTGGTGGAGCTTGAGGCAGATGATAGACAGCGCTTCTAAGCCCAGCCTCGTCCAGCTCGTGCGGTCGGTCGAGGTGGAGTGGAGTGTACTCTTCAGTCAATGTTGGTTGGACCGAGTGCTGTTAGGACATCGTGATCTGGAGTGTCGCTTCTCGAATTCAGCTTGTGTTGTTCAATGTAGCATGACTGCTTGGATGGGTACTCGCAAGGCCGCCGATGCTCAACACACGATCGGGAACTTTTGGTTATCGTGTCGCTCAGCTGGTTCTGACTCACCACGCTTCGGCGCGACACGCTATCCACGTTCTGGTCCCCGAGCGTCCACGTCTCGATCTGTTCCCAGCCTCCCGCCCCGCGGAGCTGAGCGACGCGCTATCCGCTCGCAGGGCATAGTGTGTCGCTGGGCCCCCCCGCAGCAAGTGTGTGTATAGAGGGGGCGGGGAGGTGTCATGCTGCGCGGTGTGTAAGGATACGAGCCTCAGAGTAGAGTATGGACTTTTCAGTTGCGTATGGGTCGAATGCAATGTAGCGTGTGGTGTGTAGGAGGCGCGGGTGCAGGGGGCTCGCATAGACAACTAGGCAACAGTATAGAATCGAGTTGTCAGTTGCACTTGGGACATGTGTTGTGAGGTTCTCGGTGGTATGTAGGGGGTGCGGAGGGTGGAGTACTGGGTGGCGTACAGGAGATGGAGCCAAGAGTGGAGTTGTTCCGTTTCTCTTGCAACCAGGTTTGTTATTGTATAGTCTTGGCGTGTGTATGGGAGGGTGCACGAAGTAGGTGGGTGGTGCACAAAGCACGGAGCCAATGAAGGTCAGTGCTCGAATGGTTTGCGAAACCTTGGGGCCCCCGCTGACCCTTCCAGAAACGCCAGGCACGTGTTTAAAGATGTCCAGGAACCTTGCTCTTCCTCCTTCCCGCCCTGGGGTACGTTCCGACCAGATCTTCGAAGCGGGTCCAACCGATGCCACGAATCCGTCCCCAGAGTGCCAAAGTGATGCCAAACAGATTACACAAATCTCGGGCCAACGACGACAGCGACAGGGCCCCTGGTGGTCTGGACCACCCTCCCCGGGCCCGAATGTCATCCCGAGTCGTTTTCTCGTTGTTGCACAGCGGAGGGGAGGCCTGTAGACGAGGAGGACCACAGCGGCGGCGGCGGCGATGACGGCGGCGGCGGCGGCGACGGGGTCGTCGAGTGAGCCTCAGGCGAAGGCGAAGCCTGTCCTAACCGAGGCGGGGGGCCTCCCATACGTCGTCGTCGTCGTCGTCGCCGCCGCCGCCGCCGTCGTCGTCGTCGTCGTCGTCGTCGTCGTCGTCGTCGTCGTCGTCGCGGGGCGGAGGTGGATGATGAAGGGGCGGGGGAGGAGGAGGAGGAGGAGGAGGAGGAGGAGGAGGAGGAGGAGGAGGAGGAGGAGGAGGAGGAGAAAGGAGGAGGAGAGGAGGAGGAGGACGAGGAGGAGGAGGAGGAGGAGGAGGAATAATAAAAGAAGAAGAAAAGGAGGAGGAGGAGGAGGTGGAGGAGGAGGAGGAGGAGGCGGGGGAGGAGGAGGATGAGGAGGAGGAGGAGGGAGGAGGGGGAGAGGAGGAGGGAGGAGGGGTAGAGGAGGCTGAGGGAGGAGGAAGAGGGAGAAGAGAGGAGGAGAGTGGGACGAAGGGAGAGAGGGACGGAGGTAGGGAAGGGGAGGAGGAAGGCAAGATGGCGGCGGTGAGGAGGAAGAGGGAGAGTAATGTGGTGGTGGTGACGCTGCGCGTGGAGACCTGAAAAGTGGGGGCCCTGGCAGCAGGAGCGAGGTTTCTTGCCCGCTTGTCAAGTGGCTTTGGCCCCAGGCTTGCGGCAGCGGCAGGGGTAAGAAGGAGGCCCAGGAGGAAGGGCATAGTCGGCCATCCCCCCCCTGTGCCTCTCTCCGTGTGGTTTTGGGGGCTTCCTCTGGGGCGCGCGTGTCCTATCGCGGCCCCTTCCCCGCGGCATCTGGTACCCTCCGGGCGGGAGGGATGAGGAGGGAGGAGCACTCAGATGCGGGACGTCAGGCTCATCCACCGCCCGAGGAGTCTAAATCTACGTCCCAGGGCCCCATCAGGCGTCGGGTGTGGATTACATCGGGCCCCGCGGTGCCCAAAGTTGTCCGTATCCACCCCCCCACGGGATCCTCGGACATCGGTTCCGCAGGTGGCGGGTATGTTCTGGGGCCTTCCTGAAGACACCCTCGTCGCCGCGGCTGGGTCCGCCTCGACGTTCCGGTCGGAGCGCGCTCTGGGACAGATCAGGGGCTCGATCTTCAGAAGGAGGATGGGGAGGAGAGGGAGGTTTCTGATGGTGTCCGGAAAGGGGGAGGAGTGGCAAGCAGGAGGAGGGGCAGGAGGAGGAGGAGGAGGTGGTTGACCATGGTAAACTCAGGATACCTTAGCGATGTTGCAATACACCCTCCCGTCCAAAGTCCCCCCTCACACGCCCTATACAAGTCCTCCTTTTCACTGCAAGAGCCGCCCCCCCCTTGAAAGACCAGCGCAGTTTGGCCCGCGTTTCGGCGAGGGCCCCGCTTTGAGAGGAATTGCCTTGCGCTTTGGCGCGTAATCAGGATAGCACTCGAAAGTCAATGATCATACAGCTCAACGAGGTGTCCAGCGAGGTGCCCCTCTCAAAGAAGGGCCGCCCCCCCCCCATACGTGCATCTGCTGCACATGTTCGCACTCGTTGCCACACATTCGCGGGCCCAAGGCGAGGTCTCGACCCCTCCCACAGGCAGGTCGAAGGGGAAGAAGCGGCATGAGCATACACTTTCGAAGCTCCGCGCGGATGTATTGGATCGGCGCTGGGCCCCCTCTATGGCGCCCTCGGCGCCGCCCACCGCAGGCCGCCTCCGCCGCGGCGGACGCGAAGGACGCGGCGCCCGCGAGCGTGCCCCGCCACCGCCCCCCTCGATTCGACGACGACGACGAGGACGACGGCGATGGCGACGGCGACGGTGGCGACGGTGACGACGAAGACGACGACGGTGGCGATGGTGTTGACGACGACGATGACGACGACGATGACGACGACGGTGGCGATGGCGACGACGACGACCGTACGACGACTACGACGACGACGACGACCACAACAACGACAACGACGACGACAACCACCATGACCACGAGCCATGGCGGCCGCGAGCTACGGCGACCACGACGACGACGACGGCGGCGACAACAACGGCGGCGACGATGACGGCGACGACGACCACGACATCGACGGCGACGACGACGACGACGGCGAGGACGACGACGAGGACGACGACGACGACGCCGATGGCGACCACGGCGGCAACGACGAGGGCGACGACGACGACGACGACGGCGACGACAACCAAGACGACGACGACGACGACGACGATGATGACGACTTCGACGACCACCGCCACGACAAAGACGACGACCACGACGATAAGGACCCCCACCTCGACCGTTGCAGGCGAAGGGTCGGGGCCGACTTGAGAAACGGATTTTTCGGTCCAGGACATGTGGGGGTGGCAGTGTAGTGAGCAGTGTAGCATATGTGGGGCAACATGTCAGGGAGCATGGTTTGACATAGCCATTTTGATTCGAGTTGATCAAAAAGGGCTCGTGATGGTAGCGGAGCGGGTCGGCACCATGACTCGCTCCATCCCCGCGCGCGGCCGCGGGATGGCGTAGAGGGCGAGGCTTCGGATTCGAGCCTCGTGCCTGCGGGCAGCTAGGCATTATGAGCGAGCAGCAGGTGCTCGCGTCCCGAGCAACACGCTGCGGCAGCAGCAGGCTGCCATTGCTACTTCTCAGCAGTGCCCTGACGAAGCGATGGCCGGTCTGGCCAGACAGCTTCAGGAGCAGAGCGCGGCGCTGCAGGCAGCAGCCCTTCACCCCCCTCCTCTCTTCGGCCTCCCTAGTGGGGGTAGTGGGGGTTTGTCTACGCCTCCCAGATGTGGTCGGAGCAGGTGGGGTCGGAGGATCGCGCCGCATCGCGGATGCATCGGCGATGCGGCTCGATGTGGGGCCCAGTTAACTCCACACTGACGGCGCCGATGCATTCCGACGTCGCCAATGCCTCGCCGATGGATCGGCGATGCATCGGCGATGCGGCGCGATCTTCCGACCCCATCTGCTCGGACTCCATCTGGGAGGCTTTCACCTTCTGCCTCCCTGAGGGAGGATTGGCCGTTCCTTGCGGTCACGTCCCTTCTCGCGCTTGTGCTTGATGCGCTCGAGCATCGCCTTCCTCGCGTCAGACTTCTGCCGATGCCGCGCGCGCGTCTGCGTTGAAGACATCGGCTCGAATGTCGAGCCAGGCTTGTCGCCCAGGGTGAAGTTCGGGAGTTCGTTGCGGCCGCGGGCCCGGCAAGTCCTCTCGCGCTTGCGAGGAACGCCTCGCGCTGCGCTGCACCCGTGATCTGGCCTCTGGGTTTACCCGCTGCCGTCTCTCCGTCGTGTTTCGAGCTGCGCTCTGCCACGTCGCTGTCGATGCAGCTGCGATCGCTGCCCTGCAGCTCCTGGTCGCGCTCGGCGCGCCGCGCGTCCTCGACCTCCAACCTCTCCTTCACGCTGGGGGGTAGCTCCTGCCTTTCGCTTCGCTTCTGCTCGTCTCCAGCTGCGCTCCTCCCTCCTGCCCCGGCCGCGCGCGCAGCCGGTGCTCGAGCCTGCCCAGAACTTCGCGATGCCTTTTGCTCTTCTTCGCCGCGTCCTCCTTGCTCGGCTGGGCCCGCCCCATCTCGCGCGCGCTTCGCGATCTCCTTCGGGCGACGCTGCCCCGCCTCAGCGCTGTTCGAGAGATCGCCTATTATAAGAGTCGACGCTTGCCACCGCCAGCAATCCCCAAAGCGACGTCGGTAGCCGCAGCATCGCGACGACGCGGAGGCGCGCGCTTCTCCTGCACGCTCGCGGGCCGACGGCTCGAAGTCGAAGCCGCGCCCGGCGCTGCCTGCCCCGCGGCTTCGCGGGTCGCTGGCTCGGAAACAGCGCCGCGCCTTTCATACATGTCTCATCCTCCTCCTCGTATTCATCTTCGCCCTTGTCGGCATCCTCCTCCTCGTTGTCATCTTCGCCCTCGTCGCCGACCCGGCGCCCTCGAAGCTGGGGTCGAAGCTGGAGCCCCGCCCTGCCCAGCGCCTCCTCCTCCTCCTGGAGCCCCCCGCACAAGTCGACCCGCGACTTCTTCGCAGACGCGCAAGGGGGCGGCGCGGTCGACGCACTCCTGGGCGAGGCCGTTGAACAGAAACTGCGAGAGTGGCCCTCCAGCTCGTCCGACGAGCTCTTGATCTGGGAGCACTCTGCTCGCGCCATCACGAAGGGATCGTTTATTTCCCCAGTCGCTATCGGCGCCCCTTCCGTCAGGCACGTCTGATATCTGAGCTCACGCGCGCCGCCGCCGCAGTTGCGACAGCCGCCGCCGCGACCACCCTTAGGTGTGCCCTTGGGCCTGCCCTTGCGGTCGCCCTTGGCCGCGTCGTGCCTGGGTGCGATCGGGTTGCAGTTCGCGTCCGTCTTGCTGTAGCAGTCAGCCCTTTATGGCTTTCCTCCGTCTTTGCCCTTGCGTTTTCCTTTGCCTCCGCCCTTGCCTTTGCCGCTCCCTTTGCCGCCCTGGGCGCCCCCTTGGGCCCGAAGCTCCCTATCTCCATGGGCGTGGATCCCGTTCGTGCCGCGCCCTGCTCCGCGCGGCGGTCGATCTCCAACTTGGAAGGCCTCGTCGGTCTGCGATCGCCCCACATCGAGGCCCACGCTCTCTAACAGAAGGTCCCGGCAAATCGCCTGGAGCGTCGCGCACTTCATGGGGTCGCTCAGCTTCTCCTGGGACCTCGCATTATAATGAAAGTAACTCCGTCCCCATAATCCGATGGCGGACAGCATGTTGTCCGCGGAGACCCGGGCAGGCCTCGAGATCTTGCGCACAAGCGCACGCTGGCGCTGGGGTTGCCGGGGGTCGCACTTCCGGCTGAGTTTTTCGCATCCGTCCATCCCTTCGGTTTCGCCCGCGTTCTTGATGAGGTCGAAGGCCGCTGTCACATTGGCAATCTGAGACAGAAGGATAGAATGTAAAGCTCTGTTGGGCTCCATGGCCTTAGGCATCACGCCCACGACTCCGCTGACCTTCATGTCGGTGATCGGCTCAGGGCTGGCCCCAGCTGCCCATCCCAGCAGCTCTTCGGTGTTCCCGTACTGTCTGGACAACCATGCCACGAACTTAAACGCCCATGCGGCCCAGTCGCTCTCGTTACCACTGAACCTCACAAGCTTCCGCACGGCCTTTAAATCGACCATGTCCTCGCTTTGCGAGTCGCCGCCCCCTGGCCGAGCGGGCGGCCGAGCGCTGGGATAGCCGCGGCGGCCGCGACTGCGGCGACGCACGGGCGCCCGCCCAGCCGAGGCGCGGCGCGGCCCCCTGGAGGTCGTCGGCGCGCAGGTCTCGGGGCAGCGCGGCTTCGCATTCGAGCCGCAGTCGTCCGAGGAAGGCGCGCGCGCCAAGGAGTGCGATGCGGCCGCGGCCGGGCGGCCTGGCGGCGAGCGGGCGAAGGCGGCGCTGCGGGCCGCCTGGGGCAGCCGGGACGAGGCTGACCTGGAATTGACGCTTGCGCACTGGCAGGCCTGAAAAAGGCTCGGGGAGCACGGTTGTAAGTGTTACCGAGTTCAGTGCTTAGCTTTCCTTTTTGTGGCACATGGCGATCGCATCAAGCATCGAATGGCCTTCGGCCCATCCCGCCACCGTGCCTGGGTTGTGGGTATTAAGCCTATTGGATGTTCCTTGGGTTCTCGTTGGGAGCCTCTTGGAGGCAGTTTGGAGGCCTCTTGAGGGCCTCTTGGGGCCTCTTTTGGGCCTCTTGGAGGCCTCTTGGCATCTTCCTCATCCTGATGATCACTGCGTGCATTTCTGCCCCTCCCTCCTTCCTCGTTCCTCCCTCTCCCTACCTCGCCCCGTGTCGTCGTTATGCCTGTGCGATATCGTTAGCCGTTTGGGCCTCGGGGGATCTTGGCATGCAGCGCGCCTGGTTTCTCTTTCAGGCCACGGTTAGCTGCGTGAGAGCTTGCCAATGTTCGGTCGGTCTATGTGGCATTCCTTGTTTGCCTGGCGACCTATTGGGTCGCATTGTTGATGGTGTCGGATGCGAGAGATCTGTGGTCGCGCTTCCTCGTCGTTCTTCGTGTAATGCGTGTCTCTTCCCCCGTAGGCTCTCCTCTCCCCTTGTCCTCCTTTTCTCAACTGGCCTCTTTCCTCCCTCCTTCCGCACGCTTTGCATTCTCCTCCTGCTCTCCCCTCCTCTTCCTCCTCACCCTCATCTTCCTCTTAACCCTCATCTCCCTCATCCTCCTGCTCATCATCATCATCACCATCATCATCACCATCATCATCATCATCATCATCATCATCATCATCATCATCATCATCATCATCATCAGCATCAGCATCAGCATCATCATCATCATCATCATCATCATCAGCATCATCATCATCAACATCATCAGTATCATCATCATCATCATCATCATCATCATCATCATCATCATCATCATCATCATCATCATCATCATCATCATCATCATCATCACCAGCATCTCATTGTCATCATCACCACCATCAGCAACATCATCATCATCATCACCATCATCAGCAGCAGCATCATCAGCATCATCAGCAGCAGCATCATGATCAGTATCATCATCATCACCCTCACCCTCACATTCACCCTCATCTTCCTTCTTCTCACCCTCATCTTCCTCCTCTTCCTCCCTCCTGATGGTGGCCCACCAGTAGCCGAGGAGAAGAAGGCAGAAAGGAAAGCACCAAGGAAGGCGTCCATGACGGAAGCCGAGGCCCGCGGACGATGACGGCAGCAGCTATCTTTGAGATTGCTCTCGCCGGCGAGGGGCGCTCTGCAGGGATGGTACAGTTTGGATCTGGATCGAAGAGGAGGCGGATCGGGGAAAAGGAGGAAGATGAAGATGAGGATCGAGGACAAGGAGAAGGAGGGCCTCAGCCTTCTTCTCCTCAATCCTCCGCCCCATCCTCAGGAGAAGGAGGAGGAGAAGGGGAGGAGTCTCCTCAGGATGGCATTCCGAGGGGGGACTCGCAGGAGGGTAATAGGCAATAGCAGGGGTGGCATGTTTGTGAGCAGGACGAGCAAGAGTCGGCAACGTGTAAGTGTGGCCCTGCGCCAGGGTGGCCTTCTGGTGCGGCCTCACAGGGGTCTCCCCAGCGCTGGCTGGCGCGCTTTGCTTTGGATCCCTGGGCCCCCTCAAGCCGCGCACCGAAGGTCGCTCGTTCGTAGGGCCACCCTTGCGGGCAGCCAAGAGGGGTGGAGGGTAGGTGGTAATTAGAAGTAGGCGGCATACTTGGAAGAGCTCTTCTCCTGGCGGAGTCGAGCTCGTGCCGTAAAAGTTCCCGCAGGGCTGCTCTCGTAGTCGGGGGCCGCCATCGCAGCAGTCGCAGCACTCGAACGTACATGGTAACACCGAGGGTGCGGTCGTGCAGGTCAATGGCAGGAGGGTGGGTCGAACAATCGGCAGCTGTCCAGGTATCATACGTGCACCCACCGCTCATGCCTGGCAGCATTTGCAGATGTCGCCGTCGTTGCGGCAATCGCGGTTGTGGTTAGTATTGGACGACGCGCTGTAGAAGTGGACGCATGAGCATCGCAGACGCCCCCGACGAGTCAGTTTCGCCCCATATTTTTTCAGAAACGCCAGCGTGGTGCAAGGTCGAGCGACAAGTGTGGCGACGCTGTTGGGGAAGCTAATGGGGCAGCGCTGGGGTAGGAACCTTCCCGGGCCATCCTGGGGCTGTAGTCCGGCTCTTTGTTCTGGCCTGTTTGCCTCTCTTGGGAGCCTTCTGCTCCTGCTCCTGTTCCTCCCCCCTCTGCTACTCCTCCTCCCCCTCCACCTCCTCCTCCTCCTCCTCTTCCTTCTCCTTCTCCTCCTCATCCTCCTCCCCCTGCTCCTCCTCCTCCTCCTCCTCCCCATGTTGCTCCTCCTTCTCCTCCTCCTAATCCTTTTCCTCCTCCTCCTCCTCCTCCTCCTCCTCCTCCTCTTCCTCCTCCTCCTCATCCTCCTCCTCCTCCCTCTCCTCCTCCTCCCTCTCCCCTCCTTCTCCTCCTCCTCCTCCTCCTGCTCCTCCTCATTGGGTCCTCCTGGGCCTTCCTGGGGCTGTCTCAAGCTGCCTGAGAGCACTCTGGGGCTTGGGGCTCTCTCGAACCGTCCTGGGGCCTTCTTGGGCCGTCTTGGGGAGCCGCTTGAGCCATGGCGAGGCCCTCGTGGGCAGTCTTGGGGCCCTCTTGGTGGCCTCTTGGGCCGTCTCGGGGCTATGTTGGAGACCTGCTGGGTCGTGTTGGGCTGTCGATAGTCCGATATGGCGAGAACTCGAGAAGTCTTCAACAACATGTCGTAAATCAATGACTTTGGGTTCTTGGGGCTCTCCAGAGGCCCTCTTGGAGGCCCATCGGGGCGTCGTGACATCCTCTGGGGCCGTCTTGAGACGGCGGGGACTTTCTCGGAAGGTCCCAGAGCAGTTATGACAGGTTCGCGTCGTGTCGACCGTGTGTGACCCCATCATGGGCGTTTAAGGTTGACCACCGCCCATGGCCCAGAATCGGCCCATCGTTGAACGATCCAGCGTTTCCGAAACGGCCGATCGTTCCAGTTTGCACGATCCCGGCAGTGTCAGGAACTAATGCCAGGGTCGATTCGACGCGAAGTTGCTGTATATAGGATGTCGCGCAAACACAACTCAAGCAGGCGGTCTCGGGGTCGATCTTCGGGGGAAGGGCTCGAAATGTTGGTGCGTGTTCCCCCTTCTGGGGCCATAGTGGGGACCTGTTGGGCTCTGTGGGGGGTCTCGAGGCCGTCCTGGGGCGATCTAGTCTTCCGATTGGGCCGTCCTTGATTTGTAAGGCGAACTGCACGAGAAAGCAAACATCATCGAAACGAATTCGGTGTTTCAATGATGTTGCCCGAAAGGTGACCAAGAAAGCTTCATGACGGAGCCTGGGGTCATCTCAGGCAATGTTGTGAGGACGGAATCCCACCTTGAAAAGCCACGCGACGACCCCCAGAAACGCCCAGGAACGCACCGAATTCTGGACGCTTCGCGGATCTGGACGCACGCTGCTGCACCTCAGCTGCCGCTTCTGAGTGCTGGCCCGGCCGGCTTGCGTGTCGCTTAGTAGCTAATTCGGCTGGCCCGTGCCCCGGACCCCCTCTCGCCGCCTGCCCTCTGCTGCGCGGCCGCGACCAAAAAAAAAAAAATGATCTGGACGCGCCGATCTGTGGGGCCGTCAGCCGCTCCCTGGCCCTCTGCCTCTCTCCCTCTCCCCTCTTCCACGGACGGGATGGCGCCGCCATTCGTCCAAAATACAAGGACGTGACTGCCCTCGGCCACGCGTTCACGCGGGCTCGCTCTCGCTCGCATGGCCACCGGCCGTCCCCTGGCACCAGGAGTCCCCGGTGGGCCCCCCTCAACCTGGCCGGCTGGTGATGTCAGTGCCCACCGCCCCCGCCATGCGAGGGTCCCACAAGGGCAAGGCGGCTAGCTGCTACATGACCCCGCGGCCCCGCATCGTTGTGTGGGTTGCCGCCCCCTGGCGCTGGTGTCCCCTGGTGTCCGCCCCTCTCCCGCTGCACTGGCGATGTCTGTTCCCGCCAGTCTGGCCCTCCTTCCGCGCAACACGCAGTCCTCTCAACGGCGTCCACGTCGTGACCCTGGGCCGGGCTCCCAGGTGCAGTCGCCCTCCGGGCCTGGTCCATACTAGCCTTGTTGCTCGGGAGTGGCGTCGTCCCCAGGGTACTCGGGTTGTGTCGCGGAGTGGTCCAGCCTTCCAGCAGACACCGTGCTTCCCCCGCGCCCCGTCCCCGCCTACATGGCATGCTCTGTGCCACTGACGCGGCCGTGGCCCTTGGCGCCCTGCGGCGACATGGTCAGTCTGTACCTGGTCTTTCCTGGCCACAGTGTTTGTGCTCAAACGTGCTCGCCCAACTCCGTTCCTGGCTGCGCACCGCTTTGCGGTTCACCAGCAGTGGCAGCGCCCCCCCAGTTCGCGGCATGGCACTTGCACAGTGCTGGACAGGCGTCCCTGGCGTGCACTTCCTAATTCTACCTCTGGCATCCTGCCGCAAGAATGCAATATGCACCAGCTTCCCTGGGCGTTGCAGACCAGCCATCCAGTTCCACCAGCCGCTGCGGAGTGCTGGCCCGGCCGGCTTGCGTGTCGCTTAGTAGCCAATTCGGCTGGCCCGTGCCCCGGACCCCCTCTCGCCGCCTGCCCTCTGCTGCGCGGCCGCGACCGAAAAAAAAGTCCACCAGATCATTGAAACACAGACACCAGGCGAGTTGCCTCGACCAGGGAGCGACGACAGGCAACCAGTCAACAAAAGCAGCCGCAGGCCCCCTGTGCGTTTGATGAGTGGCGTTTGCGTCGTTGCATGCGTTTCGCGGCTCCTCGTGGTTGTCCTGGTTGAGTGACTGCCTGTGATTGCTTCTGATGCTTGTCTTACGTCGTGCGTGTCCAGGGCCGACTTGATCGAGTGGTTGCCTGTCTCTGCTCGCCGTGCGTGCGTCGCTCGTGGAGCGTCTTGGAGGCATCTTCGGGTCATCGCGCGGCCGTCTTACTTGGAGACCTCCTGGACCCTCTTGGGGCGCACCTGGGGCGCTCTTGGGGCGTTCCTGGGGCGCCTCTTGGATTCGATGATGTTTTGGAGGCCGTCGAGCAGAAGAGGCACAGAGCGGCGCAGATCCTGGGTGCCGCCCCGTCTGGGCGCCTCTTGGGACCCCTTCGGACCGCTCCCAGGGGCGGTTTTGGGGAAGTCGCCGTGCTCGCGTGACGCCTCGTCGCTGCCAGCTGGGCGGCGGCGGCCTTGGATGTTGCTCGCGCGCGCGTTCTCTCTCTCTCTCTCTTTCTCTTTGTTTCTCTCTGTCTCTCTGTCTCTCTCTCTCTCTCTCTCTCTCTCCCTTTATTTATTTCTTTATTTCTTTCTTTCTTTATTTATTTCTCTCTCTCTCTCTCTCTTTTTTTTTCTCTCTCTCTCTCTCTATCACAGCAGCCACGGCGCAGACATCGCGCAGCTGAGGGCAATCCACTCAGTGCCTACGGCACGGCAGCGGGCCTGAAGCCGTTGGAGATCCGAAGCAGCACGGTCGCAATAAGTCAGGAAATGCCAGTCATAACCTTCGGATTCTCCATCCACCTATTTCAAGATTCGTGAACATGGAACTTCTGGAAGTACCAGGCGAGTGCCGCATCTTCAACATGAATTGCCCTCCATCTGTGTAGTGGCTGGAAGCATGTCTCACGATTGCTGGCGGTGACGTGGCCATACCAATGCTTTAGTCACGAACTGCCCTCCATTCCCGTAGTTGTAAGGATACGTCTGACGAGTCCGCGCGACTTCTTTGTCACCATCCGGATTGATACCAATTATGGTCCATGTGGCTTGGTTCACATCCTGGCGAGCACGATGGAATCGTATCCGTCATGAACGCACGGCTCTGATGATGGGTAGCTTCTTGGTCCAGACCTCCCGCCTAAGATAACGAAAAAATAGCTGGAGCAGCAATGTCACCATTGCTGCAAATAACCGTTCGTTGCCTGTTCGTCGATGCCTTGGTCGGACAGTGTGTCGGCCGTTGGGTTCAACTCCCAGCACATCTGCCGTATATGTCCGCGCGATGTAACACCGACAGCCACATTTTGAAACGAGTAGTCCCTCATCCGTGCAGCTGGTGGAAGTCTGAAACATGCGGGTCATAAGATGTGAGCAAGTGTCGGCCTCAACGCCTGGGCCGCCCCATTGATACGCCTGGTGGGGCGACGAGGAGGACTGTGCTGTGGAAGAGATTCCAGGGACCGCACACAGTGGATGAACGAGTGTGTGTGTGTGTGTGCGCGGGACGCGCGGGAGGGCGTGCGCGAGAACGCGCGCAGAGAAGTGAGCAGGATGATGATGATGCTGATGATGATGATGATGATAATGATGATGATGATGATGATGATGCTGATGCTGATGCTGATGCTGATGCTGATGATGATGATGATGATGATTATGATGCTGATGTTGATGATGCTGATGATGCTGATGATGCTGATGATGATCATGCTGATGATCATGCTGATGATGATCATGCTGATGATGATCATGCTGATGATGAGCATGCTGATGATGATGATGATGATGATGATGATGATGATGATGATGATGATGATGATGATGATGATGATGATGATGATGGAGGTGGTGGTGGTGGTTGTGGTGATGATGATGAGGATGATAATGATGGTGATGATGATGATCGGGAGGGAGGAGAAGGATGGGCAGGATTTCGGAGGAGGAAACATATGGATGAGGAGGGCGGAGGAGAAGGAGGCCAGATGAGAAGGAAGAGGAGGAGAAGGAAGATAAGGGAGGAGGAAGATGAGGAAGAGGAGGCAGGAGGGGGAGGAGGTGCAGGAGGAGGTTCGGAGGAGGAGGGCGGCAGAGGAGGAGGAAGAGGAGGAGGAGGAGGAGGAGGGGGAGAGGACGAGAATGAAGGGGGCGTTTTTCGTCCGACCCGTCCCCCGCCTCTTCGGCGCGGCAGAGGCCAAGGAGATGGTGAAGGAGCTGATAGCTGTTGCCAAGGCTCCGGGGCGCACCGCGACACATCCTTCCTGTCGTCGTCGTCGTCGCCGCCGCCGCCGCCGCCGCCGTCGTCGTCGTCGTCGTCGTCGTCGTCGGTCCCAGCCCTCCCTCCCCCCTCCCTCCATTTCCTCCTATGCCTCCTATCCCGAAGGCCTGAGTGCCGCCGACCCTGCAGGGGGACGACGACGACGACGACGACCACGGCGGCGGCGGCAGTGGCGACGACGACGCTGACGACGACGCCGACATGGACCAGAGTTAACTCTGGTCCACGTCGGCGTCGTCGTCAGCGTCCTCCCCCCAGATGACGAGGAGGGAGATGAGGAGGAGGAGGAGGAGGAGGAGGAGAGGAGGAGGAGGAGGAACAGGAGGGAGGAGGGAAGAGGAGGCAGGAGAAGGAGAGGAGGAGGAGGTGAGGAGAGGAGGAGGAGGAGGAGGGAGGAGGGAGGAATAGGAGGAATACTGTATTCCTCCTATTCCTCCCCCCTCCCCTCGTCTGCCAGCCGGGGGCAGGCGCAGGAGCCGCGCCGCGCGCGGAGCGGGGGGCCGCGCCGCCGAGGGCCTCGGAGGACGACCGCTGCCCGCCAGCTGGCGGCAGGGCGGCCTGGCCGGCCGCGCACGGGGCCCTCGGCCGCCTCGGGGCACGCACGGAGGGTCTCGGTACCGCGTCCTGGAAGCGCCCCCCCGGCGGACACCCCTCGCCTCCTCCTCCTCCTCCTCGCCTCATCCTCCTCCTCCTCCTCCTCCTCCTCCTCCTCCTCCTCCTTCCCCTCCTCCTCCCCCTGTTCCTCCTCCCCCTCCTCCTCCTCCTCCTCCTCCTCCTCCTCCTCCTCCTCCTCCTCCGCCTCCTCCGTCTCGCGGAGCGCTGCGCCGCGACGCAGGCCCGGGCAGCGCCCACCGAGGCGGCCGGCTGCCGGCCAGCGCCACGCGCCGCTGGCGGGCGCTGCGGCGCGCGAGCGTGCGCGGCGCAGCGGCAGCTGCGAGGCTCAGCGGAGGAAAAGGTTCTCCGAGTTTCCTAATACGCGTCGGGGGGTAGTCACCCCCGCCGACAGCCCTACATCGACCCCCGTCGCGGGTAGGCACCGCGCGCCGGCGCTCCGACCCGGGTCGAGGCGCGACGACGGGTCGAGTTTCACCCCCGTCGGGGGGGTACGCCCCCACGCTTATTAAGAAACCCAGAGTACCCAGTACCCATACCTCTATCCTTCCCTCGTTTTCCCCGTTGTGGGCCTCTTGGGGGGGTGCCAACGTCGCCACCGCTGGATTCGCCGCGAAGTGCTGCTCAAAACTCCACCCCGGGAGAACAGGGGGCGGCGGATCGAATGGCCTTCGGCCCATTCCGCCACCGTGCCTGGGTTGTGGGTATGAAGCCTGTTGGATGTTCGCTGGGTTCTCGTAGGAGGCCTCTCGGGCGCCTCTTGGAGGCAGTTTGGAGGCCTCTTGGGGGCCGGTTCGGTGCCCCTTGGGGCTTTTTCTGCGGCTCTTGGGAGCCTCTTGGGGCCTCCTGGGCGCCTCTTGAAGCCTCCTGGGGGCCTCTCAGGGCAGAAAGCTCAGATTTTCGGTTCGTGTTTCCGCTCTTGGGTTCCTTTTGGGGCATTCTTGATGTTCTCCCCTTGAGGCCCTCTTGGGAGGCCTCTCGGAGGCCTCTTGGGGCGTCTTGGAGGCCTCTCGGGCCGTCTGGGGGCCATCTTGAGATACTGGAGTGATCGTTCAGCGCCTCGGGGCCCTCTTGGACCGTCTTGGGGGGCCTCCCGAGGCTCTCTCGGCCCGTCTTGGAGCCCTCCTGTGCCCCGAAGAAGTCGCGCGCCACCACTTGGCAAATCCCAGGGGGGCACGCGGGAAGTCCGGGGAGATGCGAGAGTGAGGGGCCCAGGTCCCCTAAAGAGTCCTCAGGAGTAAGGAATGAGGCTCAGAGGATTCGGCAAAGGACCTGAGGACACGCCCACTCCGTGCCCAGCGGCACGGTGGCGGATTTTTGGACTCCCAGATTCCAATCTACTTTAGGCGCCCTTCCTACTCCAAGGATCGAGTGGTCTCCCTCTTCCCTCCTCTGCAGGGTACGTGCGGAGATCCAACCTGCCTCCTACGCCGTCCCACTTCATGTTTCTACCCACTTTCTCCGTCCGACGGGCACGGCAGATGAACAACAGATTGCACCTCCGATGCCGGTTTTGTGAAGGCGCCCCGCGCTGGCGGCCTGTGCGCCGTGGTGTGTCGATGTGCCGTCTGGCCGGACTCTTGCGCCCCGCTGGCGACGCCGACCAATATTGAACTCGGGGGCAGACTTGCGCGTTGGAGTTGGCGCCAGCACCCTGGTCGCGCGGGTGGTGCAGGATCTTGTCCATCAGCCATACCTCGCCAGATTTCATATCCCCCATCCGATTCGAATACGACCCCTGGCATCCTGTGGGCCGCGCACACCCCTCGGGCCAGGATTGGGGACCCCCCCTTTACTTGGACAGTGCCCTCTTGGACTCCCCCGACGTTGTACATCGCAGCAGGTGGGCGCCCTTCGAACCTTCATTGCCCCGAGACATTGGGCCAAGGAGATCTACGCATTCGCGTCGCGATTTGCCCCGCGTTTCCCTTGCTGTGCATTGACGGCACCGCCTGTCTTGTCGAACGGCCTCCTTGTCGTCACGGCTTGTTCTCCCGACGAGTCGATGGCCGAAGTAGCGGTTGTCGAAGCGCCTGCCGCCAGCCACGTGCGCGTTCTGTTTGCGGCCCGGGCGAGGGGCCGCACTTGGGAACCAGGCCCTCGGAGAACGGCGCCAGACCCAACGGACGCCCGTGCCATGAGTCGGGATGTAACGACGACGATGATCACCGTCGGGATGCAACGACGACGACGATGATCACCGTCGGCGCCTACGCCAGCGTCGAGACCATCATGCACGCCTTCGACTGCGCCGGCACCGACAGCAGCGCCTACGCCAGTGCCGACGCCAGCACTGACGCCTGAACGAATTCCAGCGCCTGCACTGGCACCAACGACATCGCCTACATCAGCACCAATGTCCTCACCGACACCAGCACCAACGTCGACGACTAGGCCAGCACCAACGTCGACGCCTACGCCATCACGACGCCTGCGTCTACTCCCGCTCCGACCTGCTTGGCGGCCCCCGCGCCGACCAGCTCACCCACTGCTACGCTGAACAGCATACCGACTCCCTCGATGAACAGCATGCCGACTCCCGCTCCGACCAGTTGACCCAATCACGCACCAAGCAGCTCGCCGCCTCCCGTGTCGAACAGTTGTTCATCGACTCCCACGCCGACCAGCCCCTTGACTCATGCGCCGACCAGCTCGCCGACTCCCGCGCTGGCCAGCTGCCCACTCCCGCACCGACCATCCGATTCCCGCGCCGATCGGCTCATCGACTCCCGCGCCCACCGACTCCAGCGCGTACCAGATCACCGACTCAAGTCTCGTCCAGTGCACAGTCTCTCGCACGGACCAGCTCACCGACTCCCACGCCGACCAACCTCCATTTGAGCCAGAGGATTTCGCAACGACTGTGAAGCAGGAAGAGCCGCACCACGATTGTGACGCAGAAGAAAGAGTCACACTTTGTTGGTGCCATTTTTGTTGGCCTCTTTCATGCTGCTTCCACATTCACTGCATCCCGGGTGAGCACCGCGTCGATGGCCAGCACTGCTGCACCGAGTCGGCCACGGTGTCCACCAGGGAAAGGGGGGGGCGCGTTATGTGAAACTCCGTCCTGGCAGCGTGGCCGATACCACCGAGAGCATCGGCTGCATCGTCACCGACTGCATGCTGCCTGCCACACCAGAGTCGAGCATTGGCTAGCATTGGATCAGACTCTGAACCAAACTCCTATTCCATATGCAACTCCGACTCCAACTCCGACGCCGGCGTGGTCACATTTACCAGGACAGCTGCGGGGATGTCGTCCCGGCCGTCCTGGCAGAGCACCGATGGTAGTGCATGACGGCCAGATCTGGGCTTTGCTACGGCGTACTCCTTCCTCCACATCAGAGGTGAGCATCGCGTCGTCTCCGACCCCAGTTGGCGGTCTTGCTTCAGTTTCGTCTTTGAGTCCATCTCCGACGCCGATGTAGTGCCACCCTCCGGATCGCAGCACCGTGGCTCTGGCGGCCGTCCCTGGCATGATGTGAGGGCTTTTTGCTGGCTGACGCGTACCCCCACCCTCCTCTCCTTGCTCTCTCCGCTGTGTCTGCGTTTCTAGCTCGTGCATGCGCTCTGGGGCCAGTCGTGTAGCTCCATGGGTGGCCGGCGCTCTTCGCCTGCCCGAGAGCTCCAACTCTATGTATTCTTTCTCCAGTAGTTCTTTAGAGGCCACCCGCACCACAGGTGTGCGCGCCCAGCCGCGCTCGACCCTACATGTTAGGACCCTGGCTGGTTTTGTTGTGCACACCCTGCAAATATGGGATACTTCTGCTCCGCCTCGGCCTCCGTTTTTCAGTCGCAATTGCTCGCGTGGGCTTCAGTGCGCGCACCGCCTACCAATGTCGGTCTACGCACGCGCGAGCCTCGTTGCAGAGCTCGCTCGGGCGTTTCTGTCCTACCGTTCATCCTTTTCCTCCTCCTCCTCTTTCTCCTCTGTTCTTGAGCTGTGTGTCGCGCAGGCCTCCTCCCTGCAGCGTGTGACACGCTGGCACCCACCCAGCAATGTTGCGACCAGGCGTTGACTTTTACGTCCGCTGGTTTGATCGTTAAGTATTTTTCTTTCGCTTTCCGCACCCCTCCTCGTCCTCCCTCCCCCCCACTCCCTGCTCCCTCGGCCACCTAGCTGCGGCCCGATGATAGTTCGTTGTTGTTTTGTTGCTGGCGTTGACCCTGTAGGGTAATCCACAGGTGCCGCCGCAGCGATGGCTTGCCGCCCGGCGTGTCTTGGCACTTCACCGTCCGAGGCCTTGGGAACCCGCGGGCTTCTCGAGATTTAAAAAATCATCGAACTCACTCCACTACCCACAAAGTGCCGACCCGCAAATGTTCGAAACATATTTGTTCG